ACAGACTTTTGGAGAGCTTTGGTGAGAGAAATAGGAGTTTTACGGGATTTCGGGAAGAAGAAGGAGAGTTGGAACGTGAAGATCGCTTGTTGTCGACATGAGTCTTTCTTCTCCCTCTTTTCTTTCTGTTTCTAGTTTTTCTCAGTGTTTTTCCATGAACCGTGAGTAGATCCACGGCTGTGGGTTAGGGATTCGTTTGTGTTTTGGGTATGTTTGTACCCTAACTTGGTTGCGATTTGGATTTGTTTCGGTTTTATCGATTTGTGCTTTATTGGATTGGTGTTTGCTGACCCCTTGGCCAATTATTTCAGATTCTGAACTACATAGGAATATGGGTTTAGTTTCGGATCAAAATCGATAGAGTAGATTGTATTATTCACATAGGAATATGGTTTGATCGATCTAGGATTGATGATAGTGTTCTTCATGCATCTAGTTTGATAAATCACATAGGGATATGGATTTAGAGAACTTTAGATAGTGAGTTATATGTCGGGAGGTGATTTCTCTATCTTTGTTGCTTGACGATTCCCGAATACAGATTCAATATCGTGATTCTCGCATGCTTACCATATACCCATACACGCGAATACGGTCCCGACACCCACGGTCATCTTAGAGTGCTAGTTTACACATTCTTATTGCTTTGCTTCTTTGTTTTCTATTCTTTCCATATACTTCCACCATCACTTTCACTTCTACTTGCTTTGATTTAGTCTCGATTAGATTTAGATTTAGCTACCGGTCCTTGCGTTCGACCCCGTGTTACGACGATCCGTATCCTTGCGGTGAGTTGTGAATCGGGTTATAAATTCTAGACTCGGTACACACGTATCAACAGCCTCTTTATAGGTTCGAGGTTCTGTTTCGGTAGTAGTGTTTAGGACAAAGGTTTTATAGAATGGATTAAGATTGTCATATGTCAGGTAGGATGATATAGGGAATGAAGTGGAGGGTTTAGAGGAGTCATCAAACTGATAACAATGATAATCCTCCAAGTATTTTGGTTGTTTGGTTGCTCTTTGAGGTCGTTCAGAAGGGATGGGTATATCTGGTTCAGAGGAAATGAAAATATTTGGTTCAGGTAACTCTGATTCAACAACATGATCAGAAGGTAAAGGTGTATTATGTTCATGAGGATCGGGATTATGAGGTTCAGCTTGAAAATGTTCAGGATTTGGTTGGTCAACAGGTTCAGATATAGGTGTATTATGAAAGGGTAAGACTGTCGAAGGAAACAAATTGTTTTGATCAGAATGATCTTTAGCTAGGAAAGGAAAAATATCCTCATGAAAAGTAACATGGCGAGAGATAACAATCAGTCCAATATTGCAAAGGAATATTAGACTGGAAAAACAAAGACCTTGCCACATTCAGAATATGTTGGTGCTTCCTCTCCACCACGGAGTTCTGCTGGGAGTATATGGACACGAATAATAGTGCAATAACCCTTTTTCTTTGAAGAATTATGTAAACTCTGGTGCATTATCAGATCGAATGGCCTTCACCTTTACTGTAAATTGCCTTTCAACAAGCGAGATAAACTGAGGAATTATAGCCTTTACTTCACTTTTCTGTCTTAACATGTACACCCAAGTAGTTCTAGAATGATCATCAACAATTGTCACAAAGTATTTGTATCCATCAATAGAAACAACTGAAAAAGGACCCCAAATGTTTATATGTAAAAGATCGAATATGGAAGAGGCTACATGATTGTTAGAGACAAAAGGAAGATGCCTCTGCTTTGCCAAATGGCATGTATTGCAGTGCGTTGGTTCAGTTATTTTGCTAAGGTTGAGAATAGAAGAGAGGTTCTTTATTTTCTGGATGGATGGATGTCCAAGCCTCCTATGCCAGACTGTGAAGTCAACACGGAGAGCATTGCACATCTGAGTTTGAGGTGTGGGTGTGAAAGAGTCTGAATTGAGAAGGTACAGACCACAATGCAGGTCAGCCTTCCCAATCTTCAAGCCCGGAATAGATGCCTGGAGGATACAAGACGTGGGGGTAAAAGAAAGATTAAAATTGTTATGAGATAAAAGGGCAGAAACATTGAGGATGTTAAAAGAAAAAGATGGAACAAGTAAGACATTTTGTAAGACTATGTGTTGATTGATCATTGCTTTCCCTGCTTGAGTGACTGTTAGTCGAGATCCATTAGGTAGACTAATAGAAACAGGAGAAATAGTTCGTATATCATGCATCAGAGAGCTATGGGCACAAACATGAGTTGTGGCTCCTGAGTCTATTATCCAAGTATCATTGGTATCTTTCATATGTATATCAGCTGAAACAGAGGATAGAATCAGATGATTACCAGAGGAAGTGACGTTTTCTGGAGCACCATTTTCTGTGATACTTGGGCTAGAGATGTTTAGAGCAGCCCCAAGCTTGTAGAAAAGCTGATGAAGTTGTTGAGTTGACAATGCTCCAACATCAGAGACCTGATTCTGATCCATAACTGGTTCAGTAATCACATTTGCAATGGTTCCTTTGTTCTGAAAGTTGTTCTTTCCTTGTGGCGTAAATGTCTTCTGAACAGGCACTGAATTTTGAGACTGAGGATTCCGAGGAATGTATCCTGGTGGATATCCATGCAACTTGTAGCATTTGTGTACTGTGTGACCATAAAGGCCACAGTGAGTACATAAGGGACGCTGACGAGGCTTGTAAAAACCTCCCGCAACTGCTGCAACATTCTCGGTATGTTGAGGTTGAACAGGGGTTTGAAATACTGATGTATCAGTAAGAATTGGATTCTTGATCATCTTTTGCTGTTCATGTTTTACAACAATACCAGAAGCTTTCGCAAGATTTGGTAAAGGATCCATAAGGATGATATGATCACGAACAGGTTCAAAGACGTCATTCAGTCCACAGAGAAACTGAAACACAAAATCTTCTTCAAACAAATCTCTCCACTTTTTATCAACTCCGCAAGAACATGTTCCACATGAACATATTGGAGAAGTCTGAACCGATTTTAATTCTTCCCAGATAGTTACCAATTTTGTGTAGTATGTAGAAACGTCATCATGACCTTGACGAAGAGAATTCAACTTTTGTTCGATGCGATATCGACGAGAAACATCAGCTTGTTGAAAACGATTTAGCAGATTCTTCCACATATCATTCGCTTTCTTGAAGTAAAGTAGACTTTCAGCAATTTGTTCAGAAACGGAATTCATGATCCAGGAACATACCATAAAGTTGTTCTTCTTCCATAGCTTGGATTCTGGATCTGAATCCGGCGGTTGAGCAAGTGTCCCGTCAATGAAACCAAGTTTATTGCGTCCTTCTAAAGCCATCGAGAAGGAGAGATTCATGAATTGAAATTGTTGCAGCCGGTTAGGCGATGAGAAGCCAGAACGGAGTTCGTCTGATCAGTGGAGCTGAGATAATACGGACTGAAGCAATCCGTCACACTCGGAATTGAGGAAGAAGACGCGGCAGCCATTGTACCGGGAAAACACCAAGAAATTTCTCGGGAAAATCAAGGAAAGAACGAATCGAGAAAAGAAACTCACAAGGGCTCTGATACCATTTCACAATTGAAAAAAACAGAGAACAAAGGAATGCGAAAAATGAACTGATAACTTTATTTCTGATGAATGAACAACATATATACAAGCCTCTTTCTAACTAACTCCAATCCGTACAATGAATGTCGTCGTATTCTCGGTATTATTCGAAGAGAGTTAGTTATGCTGACGTGGCATAAGTGATAATAATAAAAATCGGATAAATTCATAAAGTTCTCAAAAAACTCGATAAAAATACTCTTAATATTCACTTGTATATGTTTGAATGATATATATTACAAATAAGAATTGAGATGTTTTAACTTAAACAAAGAAGAGACACACTAAATGTTGAATAAAGATAATTTATTGAAATTTTTTATTCTTGATTGGTCAGCGTCTATACATTTTGAAAATTGATTGACAGTTATGACTTTTCATTACCATTATTTTTTATTTTTGTATTTTGATCGGAAAATAGATATTTTGTTTCACGTTTATAACATCTCCTCTCTCGAATTTCAAGAAATTTTATAGACTTGAAATTTGAGTCTTTTAAGATGGTTTGGACTTGAAATTGGCATCATTCTCTCGCAAGAGAACTTCCTCAAATACAAATCGATATAAATGATAAATGCAAATAGAATTAAAAAATTTTAGAAGGTCCAAATTAGGCAAGGGCCCAAAAGTAATACGGCCCAATTAAAGTTAGGGCACAATTCGCTCCTCCGTCTTTTTCCCCAATTGGATCAGACCAGCGGGATCGAGGCACCAAGTTAATCCGCCGGTAGGGCGCGTGAGTTGAATTCTGTTCTTGAGGTACGGTTTTGAATGAAGGGATTTATTGCACTGATTCATGCGGGTTTTGATCGTTGGATGTCACATTTGTTCATCGATTTGAAGTTCTGTTGATTTGATTCAGGGGTCCCTATGGATATCGATGTCGGACCGGTTGATCCGTCCGTTCTATACGAGCAAGATCTCCACGTTTCTTCTGCTGTCTGGGAAGGACAGGTTTCGTTTTTCCTAAACCACTGTCTGAAAATTTTATAATTCCACTGTATCTTCTCAGTTGACGTAATCGGAGATGTGCGAGTTTAATTAGGTTTGAACAATGTTTTCTAGGAACGGGGCTTACTCCGGTGTCAAGAACACACTTCATTGCTTCACCAGTGGAAGCTCACTGATGAACAAGTTAAGCTAGTGGACAAAGCCGGGTTCGGTTACTTCAGGAGAATTGGTCCGATGAGTCTGAACAATTCGCTGATCTCTGCGCTTGTCGAGCGGTGGAGGAGAGAAACTAACACCTTTCACCTTTCGTTGGGCGAGATGACGATAACCATGGACGAGGTTGCCTTGGTGCTCGGTCTGGAGATTGATGGTGAGCCTGTCGTTGGTGCTAAGGTAGGAGATGAAGCCGCCCTGGATATTTGTGGAAGGCTGTTGGGAAAAGTACCATCTGCTGCTAATAAGGAAGTGAATTGTTCGCGGGTGAAGCTTAATTGGCTGAAAAAGACGTTTTCCGAGTGCCCGGAAGATGCATCGGCTGAACAAGTGAAATGCCATACACGAGCTTATCTGTTGTACCTTATCGGCAGTACGATTTTTGCTACAACTGATGGTGATAAGGTTTCTGTGAAGTACTTGCCTTTGTTTGAAGACTTTGATAAAGCCGGGAGATATGCATGGGGAGCAGCAGCTTTGGCTTGCTTGTACCGAGCTCTCGGCAATGCATCCCTCAAGTCTCAAAGCAACATTTGTGGCTGTCTGACACTGCTACAGGTTTCTCATGTGAAACTGCATTTCTTTTACTTATTTTATGTCGGTTTTATCTTGATGTCTTGGACGAAGTAACATGGTCTGCTCCTATGTGTAGTGTTGGAGTTATTTTCATTTGGATGTTGGCCGGCCAGAAGCATATGAAGTTTGCTTTCCTCTCGCTCTCTTGTGGAAAGGTAAAGGCAGCAGATCAAAAACTGACCTGACAGAGTACCGTAGAGAACTGGACGATCTTGATCCAAGCAAGGTAAATTCCATACTCATTTTCTGGGACAATTTTATTTTTACTCTTATCCACGAGTCAACCTTAACTAAACGTTATTTCTTATGATCTACCTATAGCAAGTTACTGCTCTGCTTGTTTTGTTCGATCATTGGCCTCCATTTATATGTTATAAAACCTTACGAGCATGTTATGGTATGCAGATCACATGGTGCCCATATGAAAAACTTGAGAATATCATCCCTCAACATATAAAGGCAAAGTTGGTTCTGGGAAGATCAAGAACAACACTTGTATGCTTTGAGAAAATAGAGTTGCATTTCCCAGACAGGTGTCTGAGGCAATTTGGGAAATGCCAACCAATACCCCAGAAAGTGAAACGCCGAGATAGAAAGAATCGTAGGCTTGACGATTTAGATACTTCGATGAGTCTAGCATGCGAGGAATGGGCTGAACGTCGGGACAACATCATGGACAGTCCTGCAGGTGGCTGTGTGGATGAAGGAGCTTACATGGAATGGTATGCCCGCATCAGTATCACCAAACTATACCGGGAAGCATTTCTCGAGACCCAAGTTATGAATATGGTAAAAGATCTCTTCTTCACCCCCTCCCATTTACTCTATTTCCGTCCTTTACTTCTTTCTCACAGAGGAAATTGCACAAGCAGAATCTTCCAGGGATTACATAGGATGAACTTTTTAGCATATGCAAGTGTCACCCATAGTTGAAAACTGCATCCATTCCGACATTTTGGATGAATCTTGATGAATGGCATCTGACATGACCAACGTGATTGCATCTGCACCACTTGTGGCTGAGGCGGGTGATATATATATGTGTGTGTATATCTTTGTGCAGATAGCTTGTATGAGAGAATCTGAGGAAGCAGCGGCGGGGATTTCACTGGAGAAATTGGCACCGGTGGAGAGAGAGGTGGTAGAGAGCGTGAAAGATACACTCGCGAATTACTTGACGTTCGGTGGATGGCAGGAGGCTGCGATTAACAGCGGAAACGGCTACGGGAAACGAAGGCGTCGAAATGAGCAAACTCCGGCTAATGGTAATGATATTTCACCTGTTTTTCTCGACAAAGAGACATGAAACTCTTTCCAAGTTCCTTGTCATCTTATATTTTGTAGGGTTTATATATATAATATATCAACATTAGGAAAAGAACCCTAATTTTCCAAGGAAGCAAAACTTGGATGTTGACAAACTATATGTATGTCTGCATATATATATATACACACACATTTCTTTGACTACCAAAAATTACATATCAAACGCATATTCAGTAGTAAACCTTCATTCTGCTTGCTTCTCCTTCTTCATAGCTAACTGCCCAAACCGGTTTTCGGCTTCATCTACCAGAGAATCTTCGTCCTAATCTAAAATCCGAACACTGTCTTGTCAGTTCCCCGACAACAATCCGCAGGCTGTTCTTCCTTCTCTTCTCGAGATTTTATATATATACACCCTCTATTCTCACACCTTCCATCTCTGGCTTGATCTGTTTGACTTTGACTTTGCCTTGCCTTGCCAAGCAAGTCAAGGAGGCTAATAGAGAGGAGAGAACACACATGAGTACACTGTGTCCCTCAATGTCTACCCCTCCTTAATTCCACCTGTTTTCAGTTTCTCGTCCTCGGCTTCCTTCTGTGCTTTCTTCTTCTCAAACTCAAGTTGCTTGCGGTTTTCCTCATGCGACCGTACAAATATTTTGACAAAGTTCAAAAGTGTAGAGACAACTGCAAGATTCAGACAAACAAGAAAAAGGGTTTTGTGCTTGGTTTGACATGTCGGTTACAAGACAGGAACTGCTCCCGAAAACCCCCGAATAGAGATTATAAATCGAAGATGGGAAACTTGCCAGAGAATGTACCTTGCTCAAACGGGACACGAGCTGGATCTTCTCCAAAGTAAAGAGCCAAAGCATCGGCACTTCTACCCTAAAACAAAAAAATCAACCGAAAGCACGTGTTTGTAGAGATAAGTACCATAAATCTAGTCAAAGTATAGTGGCTCGGAGAAAAAGCTAATAAAAGACATGAGAAGTGTTTTGAACTGAAGGATCATACCACAGCTGAATAGAGAGAAGCCAGTGATCTCACTTCTCCTTCAGCGAAACCGAGAAACTCTTTCAAGTTCTGACAGTGCACGAAAACTGAAACAGTTAAGGAAAAGTTCGAAACAAGAACGAGAAAACTACAGACAAAAGGCCAAGACAGTAGGTTTAGTTACCTTACGAAAATGCTCTGATATCGGACCGTCGTTTTCAGATGCATTGAATTCTTGTACAAGTTTCTCCAGCCCCTTGCTAATTGCTTGCATCTCCTCTGCCAAGTACTTTAGTTGAATCTGAAATCATGACTGTTGTTAGAGAATCACCTCCACAATATGAACATAGAGAAAGACTTAAAAGAAAAAAGAATAAATAACCTTTGATGCAGCCTCCAACCTCACCAGATCTTTCGGAAAATCAAGAAGCTCTGGAAGTTTGTCGGCAAGTACCTGAAAAATCCAAGCTTGGGTCAATAATGGCAAGAAAGCAGTAGCCGAGAGAGAGAGAGAGGGGCCTCTACCTTACAGAGATAGTGCATCAGAGTAATCTTATTGTTTCGGGCTCTCGTATCAGTGAGTTTCAGAAGACTATCCAATCGAAATCCGAGAGCAGAACCTGTGATGAATAGAAGAAATTTTTTTTTATATAAAAAAAAGATGCTTTACCAAGCGGATGAGTATGAAATAGAATCAAACTCACCCCTCACAGTCCCATGGTTCAAGGCATTGCCCAAAGAAAGTATAGTTTGCATTATCCTTTTCAGCTTAACCGAGCTCCTAACCTGGAAAATGATAACGTATGATAGAGTGATAGTGTTAAAAACAACTTGAACCTCAAGAAATATGTATGATATAATCGATCAGCTTGCCTCATCGGCTGCAGAATTTATAATGTTCAGATTTGTTCTAAGGTCAGAAACCTGCAAAAAAAAAAGAAAAAAAGAAAACCCGTAGATCGTGTAAGAGCCATATTCAATAGGAGAACAGAAGAAGGCATTTAGAAAACACGAAATCTATTCGATAGTCGTACCTGGGAGCGGAACTGTATCTTGAATGATAGTACCCTTAGTTTTGATTCCACCCGTGGAACTTTCAGTAATTCTAAAAAAAACTATCAGAAAAAGGTCAGAAAGTAGCTGTCAGTACGAAGTTTATAGATGAAAGTAAGCTCTCGTGAGGGTTTAACTCCCGACTCGAAAAGCAAATGACGATAATCATTGATCTAGACTACTAGAAACATCGGTAACTTAAACTTGGACAATATTTGATCGTGAAAATGTTTAAAAGAAACATCCAGAACATTCATAAGTAAAAAATCGGATAGAACACCAAACCAACCTGCTCACATCGGCCCAAATTCTCCTTATCTCCAGTGTAGCCCTGCAGAAGACAAACAAAAGCATTACACTTATGTGGAATGCAGTTTACATCACAAGAATGTCTGTTAACAGTGTGTGTGTGTGTGTGTGTCTATCTATATGTATGGTATTTTCAGAGAAAGGTAACTTCTTACTTCTATTTGGATGAGAAGCAAATACCTTGAGCAAATCAATTTCATCTTTCGTTGGACAAAACTTGATTAGATTGTCAGCCTGATCAACATCTAACACTGACTCGTCCAGTGCAAGAATGGAACTCTGTACGAGAAGGATATCCATATCAACATACTGTTCAAACAGCTCTTGCTTCAGACAGTGAGGGAAACTAGAATGATGCTGTATCATCTAAGAAAAACAGCTCAAGACAAAGATCTGGTCAAGAATCTGCAAGGGGATTGCTAGAGATTACCATCAAATCGGGCAAAGGAATTTTAACTTTGGAAAGCATGATCTCACAGTTGTATGCCCGTCTGAGTTCAATCTGCAAAGCTAATAGGAGAAATGAGATAATGAAACAGAGCAGCTGTCTGCTAAATTCTAACAAATATGTCAAGAGGATCCCTATTTCATGTTTCTACAAATTCACAAAATGATTTAGGATATCTTCAAAACACAACAGGTTGGCCGTATCATAACGATAAAAAAGCCAACAATTACCAGCTGCACTTTCCCAGATTTGCGTCCTGAGGCACGCCGACCCGATTTCCCACCTTTACTGCCACTGTCTAAGTTAGGAGCGGCTGCTGAGAAGAGTTTCTCAAGCTCTGAGATGTCAAACTCTGGAGCCCTGAAAATGAAAAGACGCAGTCAAATGATGACAGAGTTCACATAAGAAACATCAGAAATTTGAAAAGAAAGAAAAAAAAAACAAATAAAATATAACCATACTTAGCATCTTCATCGAGTTTCTGTGCCTCAGCCCATAAGCTTCCTTGAACTACCCTCGTAAGCTTCAACCAATGATACGGTTTCAAGTTGGTCTTTTTCGCATGACACTGACCTCTAGCATTGATCCGTGAAAACCCACTTCCCTTCAAGCCACATGGCGGTCCAGGAACTGGAGGAACGTTTCCATTACAATCCGCATGATGAGACTGAGACAAAGGTGAAGGGGCTCGTGAAGGAGGCACAGGTGGAGGTGGGGCTTTCACAACTGGATTTTTTACAGTTCCTGATACAGAACCAGAATGCAAAGTTGGTGGTGGTGGCGGCGGAGGAGGTGGAAGGCTTGTTCTGGTTACTGAATGCTTTAGAGGAGGAGGTGGTGGTGGTGGCGGCAATGCTAATGAAGACTGTCTTTTACTAGGATGTCTGGAATGTGGAGGAGGTGGTGGAGGTGGTGGAGGGGCAGATGTGTTTGTTAAGTTCTTCAGAGGTGGCAGTTGAGGAAGAGGCCGAGGCTGTGAAAGTTGTTGTCTTGGTGTAGAAGGAGGGACAGGAACCGTGTAGGAACCTGTAGCCGGAGCAGGGAAACTGTTAAACTTGGAAACTCGGTTTATCGGTAAAGAAGTCACCTGAGAAGCTAGGGATGATGAAGTAGCAGCCTCTTCCCCATCAGACGCATCATGATCATGCAATAGTGCAGTAATTCCAATGTTTGATGGAGAACTGTGATATCTGGAAATGGGCATAGGTGATACTGGCGAGATTATCTTAGAGAGAGCCGTTCTCCGGACTGAAACCTTAAGTCCATGAGGTTCAGCCTTCTCAAGGGGTGAACTCGGCGGGTCTGTGCATGGTTTATCCCATGCAACGGTATCTTTTTCTTTTCCATGAGCAGAGACAGAAGCAGGACTTCCAGACCCGTTTTCTGATATCATCAACTTGGTTTTCTCTTTAACTTTCATAAGAGCTGATTCCAACAGACTTTGTGACGGGCTTCGAGGAGAACCAGATTCCAAGCTTTCTTGAATGATATTTGCTGCTGTTATTTGGTGAAAGACATTCACCGCAACATCAGATTTTGGATCCAACCATTCAATGTCACTGAAAATTTCCTGGACTTTGGCAAATGCTTCCATGGGTATGCCATCTTGTTCCTCCATATTTGGCATACCAACAGAAACAAGGATACCACCAACATCCATCTCCGAAAATATAACCTTAACAAAAACAAAAGATGTTACCACCAATATCTTTTACTTATCCAAGAAAAAAACAAGATGAATAGTTTACCTCGGCAGTGAAACTCCTGGGAAATCGATCCATTGAGTTCCACAAAACATCAATGTCATCACGATTAAGCATTAGAACGTTTGATTTGAGAAAAGCTGTATTGAACATAACCCGAAACATCATCTCTTCTCTATGATGTTCACTATCCGAGCTAATGCATTCAAGCACTACATCACCTTGAACATGGCAATGGATGTCAATCTTTACCAGCTCGCAATCCGCCTGCAGAAACAAGTGAGAAGCTTGGATTATCTTAAAGCAGAAGTGAATAAGCAAAGGGAGCTAAGAATGATCAAGGTCACCTGGTTGCATTGGCGAACAGATTTGCTTTGTTTGGGCATAGAGAACAGAACTTTTGATGTTCGGTCTGAAGGCATAAAAGGATCTTGACCATATATCCTGAGTAAGGGTCGGCAACCACCTTCGCCATCAAAATCAGGAATCCCTCTAAAAATGACACAGTCTAGTGTAAGAGCACGATCTAGTGGAGGCCATTGTGACAGGACATTTCTTCTTGAAACATACTGAAGATATCTCAATTGTGAAGGCAGAGGATTTAGAGGGGACATCAACCGTAATAACTCACGGGGAACCAGCTTATGGATCATGTCTAGTGTTTTCTGTTCTCCACTTGACTGTTTTCGGTATAACAAGAGAGAAGCAAGCATAAAAGCCAAAACCGGCCACCCGCCTCGTTCACAATGCATCAGTAAGATATTCTGTTGGCTTAATGATAACCAATTTGAACTTGATCTAAGAAAATGATGGATCATTTCCATTGTAAGCAAAGGGCAACCTTCATAATGACGAGGATAGTCCATGACCGTCATATCGTACTCTGATAATATACTCCCTATCTGACTTTGATTATCTCCTTCACGGAAATTAAACACCATGAATGAAGCATCATGAAACTGGTCTCGTAGCTGACCGAGTATGCGTCCCACATAGACACCAAACTCGTCGTCCTCCAACATGTCTGTGCTTAAGCAGCAATCAAAGACTGGAATAAGAAACACCAAAAGGAACATACCAAGTCAAACGTCTGTAACTTTATTGCAGAATAAGTTACTATAAAGCATGTATGGATGTTTCTTCAGACCAATAACTCAAACATCATAGGATTTCACAAGAATAAGACTCAGAGATCACACAATTTTCTTGCCGATTACTGGAATATTAGGATTCTACTTAGTCTCAGAGATCAACCTGATCATATTATTGCAACTCACTGTTCCAGTGGCTAACTTCTTGGACATAATCCATGAGAGCTAACGGTAAACCGACGAATTGGATTCACAAATAGAGAAGAATTGCATTTGAAATTGAAAGGTCTAATCTTCAGATAATACTAAATCAACTCAGCAATGACCCCAATAAATATTCAAAACCAGATAAAAACCTGCACTTGGAACCCAGATCGATATGACCAAAAAAGCTACCAGAACTTGTAAAATCTTCAGCCCTCAAAACCTCAAAATTTTCTGAAACCTTAATTAAAACCCCGGAACTTCCACAGATATTAGAACAAATCCCAGAAGTACTCTAGAGAATGAGAAAGCAGAACATAAACATAATCCTAAACCTAAACCCATGATTTTTCAGTAAACTTTCCAAACATGGAATGCAGAATTTGAGCAGAACAAGTCGATTAAAACATCGAGAGATCGTACCATAAACCCTCTCCGAGATCTCCAACAACCCATCAGGTGGTTTCCTGTAGAAAAATTTTCTGAACAAAGCCATGGAGGTTCGATCAAAGGGAAGAAACCCACAACCCTATAAATGATGACCGCCACCAAAATCGACCCACATTGCAGGAACAAATATAACAAACCCAAATCACCAGAGAACAAAAGGGGAAATTTCAAGAAGAAGAAGCCATGGATTGTGTGTTTGCTGGGTCTTCAAGGAACAATCCGTGGGGTTTTGTTCCTTGTTGTTTGGTGGTTTGTCTTCACATGCACACTTCTATTTTCCTCGTTCCAGATTGAGACTTAGCTTTCAATCAAACAGATGTTGATAGCTCTGCACAAGAAAAGGAGGAAGAAGAATGATGCAGAGAGAGAGAGAGAGTTAGGTATCTTGTAGAGAGAGAAAGCTAGGTTTTTTTGTTTTCTTTAATCCAAGATGATGTAGCTCTGGGGAATTTCAGACAGAGATTGAGGATGTCCGATTCGGAGAGAACGAGAAAAATCGAGGATCTATTCTACGGATTCTTAGGACATATGACATAATCTATGTCAATAATGTTTCAACCAAAAAAACAATATTCTTAAATAATGTCCAACCAACAACACAAAAAATTAGAAGTATATTCAACACAACAAATAGAAATGAATTCCATTTTTATTCCATAATCCCTTCGTATTTGTTTTGGATAAAACCTATAAAAATCCATAAAATTTATAAAATATATTATTATAATTTTTAAATTTACAAAATACATTATTATCATTTTCAAACTGATTTATAAATTAACATCGTCGAATTTTTTTAACAAGTTTAGAAATTATAATCACTCATTTTACAAATTTAAAAATTATAATGATATATTTTATAAGTTTGACGATAAATTTGTTAAATGAAAAGTTTAGAAATTTATTTCACCATTTTACAAATTTAAGGATTTTTATGGTTTTACTCTTTATTTTTCAATTCCCTTTATTTTAAAACTAAGAAATTAAATTCTATTTATGCATAAATGAATTTATTTTTCAAATCCATATACACCATGCGAGGTTATATGTTATAACGATATGTTTCTCTATTAAGAGATACACAATTTTTTTTCTTTTGGTGAATTTGGATAGACATTTATATCTGATACATTTATATTTTTCATTAGTTACGAATGTGGACTAGTTGTTAAATCAATTACGGAAAGTATTTTTCCAAGGATAATGAACGTATAATCATAAATTTAAAAGAATGCCGATCCTGAGTAAGGGTCGGCAACCACCTTCGCCATCAAAATCAGGAATCCCTCTAAAAATGACACAGTCTAGTGTAAGAGCACGATCTAGTGGAGGCCATTGTGACAGGACATTTCTTCTTGAAACATACTGAAGATATCTCAATTGTGAAGGCAGAGGATTTAGAGGGGACATCAACCGTAATAACTCACGGGGAACCAGCTTATGGATCATGTCTAGTGTTTTCTGTTCTCCACTTGACTGTTTTCGGTATAACAAGAGAGAAGCAAGCATAAAAGCCAAAACCGGCCACCCGCCTCGTTCACGCCGAGAATAATATTCATAACGGTAATTAGAAAAATATTTATAACGATAATTTGATCTTTTGCTACAATGGTACTATGATATATAGCAGTGTCTTTATATAATAACATGATATAACAAATACTATAATATATTTCCCCAACGTACTGTTTATTTACTCTCTTTTTCGTTTCTATATCTCTCTATTTTCTATTTAATAATTTACCTTTCTAGATCTCTCTATTTTTTATTTAATAATTTATTTTGGGTTTCTTTGATGGTGAAAAAGAAGACAATAGTATATTAATTTCTTTCACTTTCCAATGAAGAAACAATAACGTAAAAAAATTTGGGTTCTTTAATTAAATTATATTTATATCCTTTATCATTTTTTTTTATAATCCGTAAGTTCATCGGACCTTTGACCCGATTATATCTTCCAAAAGACTAAGGAAGTCCAGATGAATGTCCCTCCCCACGCTTAGGTTTGAACTCAGGGTGAGAACATGTTTTATCAATTTGATTATGCCTATAAACTATTAAATACTATAATGTGAGAGGTGAGCTTTAAAAGTTAATCTAGCATGTTTAAGGTTTAATTGAGTCGTCGAGTCAAATAATAAAATTATGAGTTATAATAGTTAAATAAAATTAATATAAACTTAAAATTGATTGTTTGGATTTATATAAAGACAATGAAATGACAATATTCAAAAAGTACTTTGTATACTTCTTATACTTCTCTTCTCAATAAAGGTGAGTGTTTCGGTTTTCCATTCAATATTCATATAGTTTTTGTTTTATGAAAATTGTATCAAATTAGTATTGAATGTTAAACGATCCACTCAATTTGGTTTTAGTGTCGGTTCAGTTTGAAATGATTTTGTTATATGAGTATATCAAATACGAAACGAAACATAACATTTACACATATATTGATAGATAATTCGGATTCAAATTTGATATTTGACGGGTTTAGTTCGGTATTTATACAGTTCAGTTCAGAAATAAATTATTTGATTCTATAAAAAAAATATACCAAATTAGAGCAGAATATTATTAAGTTTGATTTGATCTTGTCCGTTCAAATTGATTCTAAAAGGTAAAGGTATTTTTTTAATAATTTTAATGAAATCGATTATTAAATATTTAATTATTATCGTGATTAAAAAAAATTACAAAACATCGTAATAAAAATATTTCGAATAAATTTGATTATCATTTTGAAGTCTTCAAGCCAAAAAACTTTAAGGCTTAGACTTGATGTGAGAGCCCCATTTAATTTATTTATTTTTGAGATAAACCCTTTATATCATAAAGGTCCAATTAAATTAGTGCTCATAACTATGAAATCAACCATGATTACAATCGGATGCGATCTTTAGAAAAAACAATGACATGACAGTTTGGAAGGGTTCGAATGTCGCTTCTAATCATGGCTCTAACACCAATCTAAATCACTAAATACGGCACGTTGCATGGCAACAAAAATTAAAAAAAAAAATCTAACGTTTTCGAAAATTTAAAAGAAAAATAATCCAGAAAAGAAAAATCCAAACTTGAAGATAGGGTGGACGTTTTCGTTTCGGTTTTTCGTAATCGAACCGAAAAATATTGTATTTTTTTTATTCAAACCGTCTAGAATTTTCGAACGATATTAATTTTAGGAAAAACGATTTTTCGGAATCGAACAGAAATTTAAAAAAAATTCAAAAAACCAATTTTTTTAAAGATAATTTTTTAAATAAAAACCGAAACCAACCGAATCGAAATCGAAACCGAATCGAACCGAGTATAATATAATAACCTATTGATACATATTTTTGAAAAACCGAAAGAATCGAACCGAATCATTTCCGACCCGAATTCGAATCTGAACGTGAACCGAATACCAAAATGCCTATTCCTACTTGAAGAAATAAAATATGGTTTTGATCGGTCGGTCCATCAAAATAAGTAAAGAAGATAAAGTTGGTTGAAATAACGTAATCATAGCACTAATCAAAGAGGTTATTATTAATCAACAACCTTTTCTTTTGTTTAAGTATCTAAGCAAAGGTTACGACTTTTTAATATATGATTGATATTTTCTTAAAATAGTAATTATTCTTATTTTTGGTTAATCGGATGACTAGTCAAAACCCTTTTGTTGTAATTTATGGTTATTTTGTAAATCATCATAAATACGTCGGTTTTCATTAAAAAAAGATGTATACAAATATCAAAATTAGTTGGCATATTTCAGAGTATTGTCAATCGTGGATTGAAAATATGGGATCCATAAACATTGACAGGATTCAGAAATTTATTTTTATAATTGACAGCTTAAAATTTAATCACTAGATTAATATACAAAAAAAAAAAAAACACAACCAATGTACGAAAATGTGCGAAACAAATTTAGATGTGTGAGCTCTTCTACATTTAAATATTATATCTACAATCATCATCATGATCATCATCAGACACCATCTATCACGAGGAGAAGGTTGGGAACATCCAAAATGAATTCAAAATTTCCTAAAAGATATGACTTTAGGTTTTAATATTATTCGAATATTTTCGGAAAGAGAAAAAAAGACGAAAGAATGTTAGATGGTATTCAATCGAAGTTAGCTGAGTGATTCCTAATTGAGAATGGTAGGAATGTTTTTAACCTAGGGTGTATGTTCGAGTGGTCGTTATGGAGAAAGTGAACAATTTAATTGTGGTACAAAGATTGACTTTAAATTTTAGATGGTTAGTGTTGGATTTGAGTTTATTTGATTGAATAAAAACGGACCTAACCCGTGAGAAGCTCGGTTCATGGGAAGTTCTAGAAACTTTAATACAAATCTGCATAATATTGAGAGAATATTTTTGATTGATTTTAAAATTCAAATCGGATTCAAATCTGCAGAAAATCTATCAAATATGATTGAGATATGATTGAGATAATATCAAAATAAAATCTAATTTAAATTTTGAAAATCAAATTGATTTTATTTTGAGATACTTCCCTCTACTATAAATAGGGGTCTTGGATTAGTTCATTCTACATAGAAAAAAAACAAGCATTTTAGAGAAAACAAGAGTATTCACATATTTGCTCATATCTCTCTCAGAGTTCGTTTGGTATTTGGAAAGCTTCTTCCAAAGACGCGGTCGTTATATCCTAGGAGTTCACCTTGCTCCAATAGCCTCGAAACCTTAGAGGTGACACGGAAATTGAATTTAAGAAAACCGTGTTTCACAAACCTCGACAAAATAATTTTTTATTTTAGATACTTATCTGGAATCGTTCGAATTGCCGAAGTTTTGCCGTTACCAACAACTGCCATCCCCAACACTCTTAATTTCGAGCCATGGTTAACACGAGGCTAACTTCTCGGGTAAGTGCCTAAATCTTCTTTTAATTTCGATATAAAACCTCACATGAATTTGGATCTAAAAAACAACTAGATTTTAAAAAAAAAAGTGTTGAAAAAAAAAACTAAATAGTTGTTATCTTGTCCAAATATTAATGAGTCTAAGCCCAATTGAATTTAAGGCCCAAATTTAATATTGAATATTAGTCCAATTAAATTCAAAGAATTTAGCCCATATTGAAGCTCAAATTAAATTCAAAGAGGTTAATTGAAAAGCCCAAAAGAGTAAGCCCAAATTGAAAAGTTTTGTTTTGGCCCAATTTAAAGAGATTAATCTAAAAACACATAAGAAAAATCTCAATATCCTTTATTTAAAAGTGTTTTGTGGAAAAAAAATTAGAATATTATTTTTTGGAGCAAAAAAAATTAGTTAAACAAAATCGGACGTAACTTTTCTTGTAAATTGGGGAAGCAAACTTTGTCTTAGCGGGACGGGTTTGAAAAGGAAGCCCTTTATACTCTCATCATAGTAAGGACGTGGAAATCGGGGTGAACCCTCCGGCTATCACTGGAAGCGAGCCAAACCAATTTTATAAGTTAACTGAAACTCGGTTTAGTTTATAACCTTTGTGAAAGCTAACAATGATTGGATTT